ATTTCAAAAAGTCACTTCCGGTTTTGAGTTATTTCCCTTTAAACGAAAATTTATAGGCTTTCATTTCCAGACAAAGGCTCAGAGACTGCTGAAGCTGGAGCAGAAATTCTACTGATTTGAGATAGTAGAAAGATTGAAGTTGTGCACATTGGTTTTTGTTTTTCGATTTCTCTATTCAAAATGGCGCTATATAGGGGTCAAAAATTAGAACGCTTAAAAGAACCAAAAATTACTCATATTTTGCTTTTTATCTTCTAAACTAATAATATTTTGTTAAAATATATAGAACATGATTTGTGCAGAATTAGAAGATCTTTTAAATGATATGTCGGAAAAATGGCTGAACCCTAATTTAAGGGATCTAGAGGGGCCAAAAGGTTTTTCCAGATATCTCAAAAAGTATTGAGAATTTGTTATACATCAAAGAAGCAAAGTTGTTGAAAATGTCAAGCTTAATCTAAAGGAGTCGTCAAAATACGTCCAGTATCGTCACTTCCGGAAAACCGGAAGTAGTCGGAAAACGCGTATTTTTGCCGTTTTTGACAAGTTTTGGGGTGACATATGTCTTAAAATTTTAATTTATGTCTTAAAGCTTAAGATTAATTTTCCATGCGTCATCGTCACTTCCGGTCAAACCGGAAGTAGCAAAAAATGGCTTATGTTTGCATTTATTAACACAGCTTTAGAGGATTCACAGTATTTGTTGGCGTTATTACTCATTTTTGATAAAAATGAAAGCTACTTCCAGTCAAACAGGACGGAAGACCTACTCGTTGCTTTGCAACGAGCTTTACTCTAGTTTATATATTATTTTCAATTAAACTACATGTATCCCGAAATTAAAATTATTTGTCTTCTGGGTCAATCAGTAATAATGTGCATTCTAGTTGAAGTGAATTGAAAATGAATTTAAAACTAGAATTTCAATGTTTTCTCGGCCGTCTGCGTACAAATGTACCCGCCCATTTCATTGTCTGTCATTGAATGTCTTGATTATAACATATAGAAATGACATAAGCTACATATTTCCAATCTTGCCAGTTAATGTCCCGCGGTCTTATCACTACAATGCCGTATTGATCACAATATCAAATATACTTCTTTGATTCATGCATTTTTAATTCCTTTTTTCATTTTCATTCAAAGTTTCAAAATCATTACAATAAAAATTTTAATTTCACGATGAGAATTTATTTTCCCTAAATGTTATACCATTAACGAAAAAATATCAATATTCATATAACTCCGAATGTAACTTGAAGACTTTCTTTATGAAAAGTATCTTACTGGGGCAGAAAATACAATGTATACTAAAAATAAAAAAAAATAGGAAGATTGGTGATAAATATTCACAATTTTAATTTAGAATGCTGGATCAGTACTTGTCATAAAATTACTGAATTTTAAATTATTTGGATGTACATATAGTCTTTCTGCAACAATTTTTTTTCGGATACTATATAATACATTACATTCCAGTAAGTAATGAAATTCTTCTCCTCTCCTGTTTGATTATTATTGCATAAATTACACACTCTTTCATCGGTATCCATAAATGGTTTATTAAATAAAATACTTTATTGGTAAACTGAAAACGAAAAGATATGTCATCAATTTTGTACCTTTTGAAGCAAGATACTATCTATGCATGGTTATTTAATTTTTGTCTCCTAATCAATTCGGCATATTGATAACCAATTAGTAGGTAAGGGTGTCAAGCATGGGTTTACCTATTGATCGTTCGTAAACGGAATGTTTCAATGCATCCTTGTATAGGTATTGTCAACTCAGACGTCAAACATTTAAGGTATTAAACTAAAATAAATTTATACAGACTTTATTTCATTTTGAATTTAGACTTTTGTGTTTTCATAATGAATTATATAATAGGACATGAAGTTTTCCTTCTATTTAGAAGCATGTGATTGGTGTTCACGACAATGTTCAACCTGTCAGAAAAGGACTACTCCATGTCAAATAAGTCCTCCAAGTAAGTTCAAAAGGGGGTTAATTTGCATATTAAAGGTAAATCAAGTTCTTTTTATAATATACTAGTTTTATAACATTGGCCATACTTAAGATGACATGAGAGATAAGATTTGCAACAATATATTGTAGATCTGTCTTACAGGTTTATATTGACATCAATCTTTTTTTCAGCTTCCCCTTCCTATCAATGAACAGGTACATCTTCAATAAATTTTACTGGTTTTTGACAACGCACTTAGAAAAAATACGCACTTTGAAAAAGATTTTCAAAGTGCGTTAAAACTGGGACAAAATCAACGCAATTTTAAAAAAAATTCAAAGTGCGTTAAGAGTGTACATAAACATTTTTTACCATGGGGAAATTCAACTCACTTTGAAAAAAATATCTATAAATTTTAGGAAATGAGAGAATAAATTAGTAAAAATTATATCTTTCGAAATCTTTTTAATTTACATGTATTCATTTAACCTCATTCAAAACAAGGAGAAGACAAGTAGAAGGTCTCTCCACCCAATTCTTTTTTCCTTATACATTGTACATAGCCGTCGGTAGCAAATTGAAATTGGACCCCCCCAAGCCCAAAGTAAGCCCCGATTTTCAATGCTCATGCAGTGTTTTTCTTTGCAAAACATTTTTGTGCCTAAGCCCCCCCCCCCTCCCGGTAACAATGCCTATGTTACACCCAAATATAATATGATTTCGCATAACTGGAATGGCATTGAAAACTTTCAATAAATTTTAAAAAGCATAAAAACTGAAAAAATAAGTACAGTAAACCATAATTTTTTCCAGTTTACATGCATTTCCATACTTTGAAATTTCATTTCTCTTAAAAATACAGTAAAACATTTAAGAGAGATAGAATTTACAAAGTACGGAAAAATAAAAGTAGCTCACCATCACATTCTGAAATGACGTTTTCACTGTAAAAATTCTTTTATTTATTATGCCTAAGTTTTGCAAAAAAATTTGACCAAGTCATACACATTTTTTTCAAAGTGCGTAAATACGTCGATATTAACGCACTTTGAAAATAAATTTTATTTTTTCAAAGTGCGTTGATTTGGTCCCAAATTTAACGCACTTTTAAAACAATTTTTCAAAGTGCGTTGGGTTTGTCCAAATTTTAACGCACTTTGAAATTTTTTTTAAAGTGCGTAATTTTTTCAATGTGCGTTGCCACAAACCTACTTAAACTCTGAAAAGCATGCTTTGAGTACGATAAATCTTTTATCTACTACTACTCATAGGTAAACTGATGTTTCAGGAATTTGAAGAACGCCTTTTAAAGTCTGATATTTTTTAATTACATTATCATTATTATGATTATTGGTTTGAAATGTGTCTTACTTTTTATACCTATTTTAAGACCTTAGTTTAATATCAAATATGACTAAGGGAATGTTCTGTCTACCTGATCAATAAATAAGGCTCAACTTCTCCCCAGCACCAGATCCAAACTATGTTTTCGAGAGTATGTATTCGATGTCTCGTGTTGGTATCACCGTTCGACTTGTATTTGTTTTTTTAATGAATCATTTTTCTCGTTAGTCATTATATTAACGTTTTTCAATACACGAGTTAAGACTTTTCCATTTCAAAAGATTGTCCTCCTTGTCCAACCTCAACTGAAAGCACAGTTTACAATTGTTCTTCGGCAGAAGCTTCAACAACCGGTAAACTATTTTAGTGTTATTTAGTAATAAATGTTGTTTAGTTATTGTAAAATGTTGCTGCAAAAAATAATTTCATATTTCTTTTTTAATAGTTTAATACTATGCAAATTTATCACAGTTTTTCTTGAAAGTTAAAGATTAAAGTTAATCATATTATTCAGGGAAAATTGTCAAATCTCCATATATTTGCAGAAAAAGCGAATTGAAATATCAACAATGCATTTCATCATTGCAAATTGAACAACAAATATATTTTAGGTTAAAAAAAACGATAGGTATCCATGCATTCAGAGAAATTGTCATGATTTTTACACTTATTAAGTATTGTTTGTCCTCTATTTCCGTCATGTATTCTATAAAACATAGTGTAAAATGCTTTTGCCATCATTGCAGGACACTACACATCACTTCTTATTTCATATCATGCTAATAAGCATTGGTATCTAAGGTTGAATTCAGGAAAATCTCATTTCTCTAAAAATGTATTATTTTTTCCTTTATAGGGTACAAATGTGAACTTTTATAAGACATTTTCAAAGACTTCAAAAAACCTTGAATCTTATAAAGATGAATAAAATGAAAATTGTTGCATGAAAAATTTCATTTCATTTTCAAGCTTCAATTTGATGCATTTAAAATTAAATATAACATTTTTTTTGAGTTATTCTTCCTGGCTGAGGATTGGATATCCTTAGAGTTAAGTATAGATTATGAAAAGATTTTAAAATCTTTTTCAAAGAGAACAAATATCCTTGATCTATTTAGATGCTAATTCTGCTTCCAGTAGCGAAGAGATTTCAAGAGGTCATGTATATATCATTTTTGTTTAAACTTTAACCATAGCTCTAAAAACTCTTTTCTAGAAATTCCAAGGCTGTGGGTTACTTTAAATTATTTACAATTTCTTTTACTGAATTAGTAAAAGAATGTTTTTTTTAATATTCAAGAAAAAATTCAAGATTAATTATGAAAATATGAATGTATTTAAACTGCAAGCATGGTTGATTTCTATTTTTATTCATTTTATTCAATCACATATTCAAGCCATATTAACAAAAAGGTAGCCTTCCATTTTAGGAGCATTTTTTTCACAGATTTAGCAGAATATTTTTCCAAAATTTATCAGAATTGTACGTGCACAGATTAACAGAAGTAGAAGAAAAAGCTATTATGACAATATGAAAGTTGTTTCAACATCCTTGCATTAAAACTTCCTGCAATTATTAGCTTATGTTTATACAGTTACATGTATAATGGCGCCAAGGAATTTTAATATGCAAAACATCGAATGTTGAACAGTGTATATTTTTCACTAACAGTTTTAACATGTTAAAAGAAATAAATTGCTTAATTAAATGTAGGTTTCTCAGCTGAAGTTGTTGTTGGCGTGATGTTCGGTGGACTGGTGCTTGGATCTATCATTACTTCATCTGTCTTTATTTATCTTTGGCAGAGAGCAAGGAAAGAACAGGAGAAGTATTACATTTACATTTTCGTGTTTAACTGATTGTTACTTAAAATAACTTTTTAAAAATAAATTTGGTCTTCTAAGCAACATTGCTCCACTGACATATTTCAAGACGCCCATTAGAGATTTTCAATAGCACTACTATTTATTCTTATTATTTTCTATACATATACTTTTCAAAATATAACACATGAAATAGGCACATGGAAGACATCGCTCACCTGATCCCAATGTCTAGAAACAACAGATATCATTTCAGTATATTGAAAAGTTTATCGATGAGGGAACAAGCTAGAATTTACATTACCACAGGATAACTAATCATGTCCGTGCTTTTCTTGAGCAGGGAAAGTAGAAAATAAAAACCTATATGTTTCTACCTGTAACTCTGATCACTCAGTGTTGCCCAACCCTACACACCATTAGGTTGAGCAAAGAACTTTATTCGGTAATAACCAATATTTGCCCCCTAAATTAAATTTCAACGGAGAAATATTTAATCATGTTCTTAAACATGGGGATATATGCTGAATTCAAAGCACTGAATATTTTCATAAGTAATGACGTCATATGTGTGAAATGACGTCACGAAGATGACGTAAAGTTAGAATTCCCATCATTTCAATAGAAAAATGTATAAATTACATCGATATTTTGAGTAAAAGTCACAGAGCGTAGGTGTGATCAGGCTCAATATTTTGATATAATGTGTAAAATGATAATACCAATGAAATATGTAAATATTGTTTCTGAGCAAGCTTGCGCTCTATAAATTTTAAAGCTAAAATTGTTGAAATTTTGTCCATTTTGTCCTCTTTCTAAAAATGATATAAAATCGGACTACATGTAGTTTGTGACATCATAAAAACAAAAAATTGTCAATTAACTACTTTGAAACTATAATATGTTCTGTTAATTTATATTTCTCATACAATTTATAGAATTCAGCACATTTCAAGACTTTTTCAAAATTTGACTTTTGTAGGGGCAAAGATATGTATACCGCATATCGTTTTTTGAATCTGTACTTCCTGTGGAAACTTCTATGATAATATCCTTGAATGTATGATTTACTGTTCTTAAGCAGACTTTGGATTAATATTCCTATACCCAACAACACCAAGTTGAAAAAACGATTTTATAAAGATGCCACCCTGGCAATTTTTGTTTACATGTATGAATTCTTTAATCTCCCTTTGAAAGATGACGAGACTAATCTCTCTTGTGAATAAATTAAAATATGTTTCACTCAAAGATTCTTTTGGTATATTTGGCCTTGTGATTTCTAAGAAGAATTCTGCAATGTAAAAAGCTTAAAGTCGACAGACAACGCATCACATACAACAGATTGAAGCCGAGAACTCTTTGCTTAGAAGAGCTCACTAAAACTTTTGGCAAGCTAAAAAATATCATGCGAATGTAAGAAACAATTGCAATCAGCTACAGTGAGAGCAACTGCGGTCATATTGATAAATTTTTTTTTTGATTAGCCTAAATTGAAATCGAGACAGAACATTGATTTTGTTATATTGTATGATGATGTATATTCGTTTGTTTGTTCGTGTTTCTTTTAATTGTCACTAAATTTTATTTATTATATCTTTAAAATTAACCTTTGGTTTTATAGATAGACTATATGCATTGTTACAACGCACTTTGAAAAATTACGCACTTTGAAAAAAATTTTCAAAGTGCGTTAATTTTTGGGACCAGGTTAACGCACTTTGAAAAATTTTTTCAAAGTGCGTTGAATTTGGGACCAAATCAACGCACTTTGAAAATTTTTTTCAAAGTGCGTTAAGACTGTACATCATAATTTTACACCATGTAAACATTTAACGCACTTTGAAAAAATTTCCATGAAACAAAAGGAATTCGACTTATATTTTAGAAATAGACAACAGTATTATCCCCTCGCAACGTATGATGGGATATAGTGATGAACTTTCAAGAATTGCCATATTTTGAAATAATCATAAATATGATAACATGTATCTAATATTTTTTCTCATGTTTTACGCAAATAAATAAAGCATATATAAATTAATAAAATACAATTATTTAGTTTTAAATAGCTTTAAAATGGGTGAAAAATAAGCATTTTTTTTTTCGTGTTTTGTCTATAAACATATCCCCCCCCCCCGTGAAACACAAAAAGCTTTGGCATAAATTTGTAAAATGACAGTCCATATTACCTGTAAATAAGGAATTTTTGTTTCGGGGGGAGGGGGGGGGGTAGATGTTTTAAAAATATTTTCAGTTTTCCGTTGATTTCTATAGTGAAAAACACAGGTTTTGCCAAAATTATAGAGTTATCTCTCTTTGGTATCCCAAATAAGTAAAGTTTTATGAAAATTCATATGAATATCTATAAAAATTTTGAGAATCATTCCAATATGTTAACTTTTGAGAATTGACTTAGAGATAGGCGGAAGACTAATACTATCCTTCGTAGTTCTTTACGCCCTTGAATCTTGACCTTTTGACCCCAAATTCAAAAGGGGTCTTCCTAAGGCCACAAGGATTCTGTTATGTTAAATTTCATTGCAAAAGCTCAAAGGGTTGTCGAGATATCGTGTGGAAACGAAAGCGTTACAGAGAGACGGATGGACGGACAGCTAGACGGACGGACGGACGGACAGATAGACCCAAATTAATATCCCCCACTTTTCAAGCGGGGGACAAAAAGTATCAAATCAGGTTCAAATGATAATTTATCCTACCTGAGATTTGTAGGAATATTGACTAAGCCATGCAGAATTTTTTTTCAAAGTGCGTTAATATGGTCGATATTAACGCACTTTGAAAAAAAAAAAATTTTTTCAAAGTGCGTTAACCTGGTCCCAAAAATTAACGCACTTTGAAAATTTTTTTCAAAGTGCGTAATTTTTTCAAAGTGCGTTGCCACAATGCATGTATACTGATTTTTTTTTTCTCCTAGAAAGAAAAATGTCTTCGAGAATTGCAACCAAAACCCAGCGTTCGAGAACGGGGATTATGATCAAATGAATACAAGAAACAAGGCAGTAATAACTATAACTGTCTGTGTCTTTTATGATTTTAATACAAAATGATTCTACTGTAAATTTGACATAGAATTACAATATCCTCTTAATGTGAAAGATAGAAAGATTCTAAAAAGTTAAATTAACAGTACACTCTATGTCACTTTTTTCGGATTATTCAGTATCGATACCAAAATGGGCATATTGTCTACACCTAATAATTAAATTAGGAATTCAGAGGAAAAATCTTCAAAAAATTTTAATTTTGAATCCGGAGTTCTTTCTATTCTTTAATAAATCAAGACGTTGGAATTCGAAATATCATAATTTTATGTCTCAAGTGTTCTAATAAACACAAAAATATTGTTGCTCATGAATAATTGATAATGTCTCATGAATATTTGCACTACATATAAACATAAGGAAATGCAATATTTTAGACAAAACCTGCAAAGATATCACAGGTTAATCCTATTCCAAGAGAAAATATTTCTACATCCCACTCCATGGAAGACGGTGTCTATAACCATTTAAATGAATCAGCTACAGCTACAACAAATACAGATGACGTTTACGACCACGCCAGACCGCATTCCTCGACGTCAGTACATTGTGAGGGGTACGGGACTTTGGTGTTTGATCATGAAGGAAATGATGTTTACATGGAAGGAGATAAAGACAAGGAGGCCGGATGTAGTGTTGGAGCGGAAACTAAAAATGAACACACTGCCCATAATTACTTTGTCCTTGAAAAAGAAACGATCTAATAGATACAATATATACATGTACACTGTAAACCAATTAGATTTGACAAATAGAAGAAGGCGTATTTTCAATTTTTAATTTTTTTTTCTACATTCTTTCATTAAATTTTTTAGCTATTTTTTAATTTTGATTTTGTTGTTTTGATTATGACTTGATATATTGATTGCTTTGTAGTAAATTTTCACGCTTCAAAATCCTTTATAAAATGCATGCTTATAATGATTACTTTTTTTAAGTTGAAAATCTTTTGAATTTGATAATAAGTGTGAATGAATTGCAAGTGCTAATCAAACATTTTAATTACTCATTATAACATTTTTTTTTCAAGCAGATTGATATATTTATTCATTGGTTAAATATGATAATATGATTCTTTTAATTTAAGATAAAATGGATAAATTTACTAATTGTCCGTTTATCTATTTATTGCAACAATTTTTTAGCAAATGATTTATTTTTCTTTAAAAAAACGAACTGTTATTCGAAGCGTTGAATGTGTACATGATTATATGTTTTTTAAATAAATATCATTTGATGAGAAACAATTCAATATATTATATAAGGAAATGCATAAGTACAGGAACAAGCAGTTCTTAAAATTTAATTCTTTTTCTTAGTCAAATTGAATGGAAACACATTTATTTATTTGAAAGGTAGGGTTTCAATAAGGCTAATTTTTGGCCCATGATGAATTTCAAATTAATTCCTTTAGTTATGTCTAGAAATGTTTCCTCTCTCATATTTTATAATTTATTTCCAAAACCAACCTATACTAGTCACGTGACCAAGGGATATCTAAAGGGTCCCTCTAAAAGCTTCTAAGAGGGTTATGAAGATTTATTACTTGTAGAAGACTATTCATTGTGAAAAACAAAAGAAAGATTAACCATATATCATCAGGGAACATGGAACAGGGCTGAAGTAACACAATAAGTTAACTAATTTAATATTTATTGGAAAAAGAACTTCTGTAATTGTAGCCATAGGAATTCAATGGATATTGTGTACGTTTTCTTATTAGACATCTTTGCTTCCTAAAATAACATAAAAAGGTATAAAAAGCAATCAGTTATAAATAAAGAAAAACTTTAAAAATTAAGATATATCATATAATGAGACAAATCATTTAAAATATAACAGTGCTTGCGACCCATACACATTCTTACAAGTATAAAGTAGAAAAAATACCTCTACGCATAAGATTTAATAGTATTTCGTTTAAATTGACACAAAGGAAGTGTAATAAATCTCTTATCAATAAATTGTATTAAATACTAAAAATATTTTTTTGCGATTAAAAAAGAACTGATTCTGTAAGTGTACACTGAACACAGGCATTAAACATAATTTATATGTACTTATTTAGTTTATTTATAGATATTGGATGCAAAATCTGAGATGTGTTTTTTATCAAAATTCATTTTATATACATTCATTTAAATTCTTAAGATATATACTTTGATTCCATGTCTGTACCCATTTTTGTGTGAAACGTATCTTAAATTTTTTTCAAAATGTTTTTGTGATCGCATGTACATGTGCCCCTTTGAATTTGCACAAATCACCTTTGATCAAGGTGTAAAGTATTAATTCTTATGTTTTTTTTCAGTAAAAAAGATATGAACGTAATATGTTTGCACAGACAGATGGACAAGGTGATTCCTATACATACCCCCAAATTTTGTTTGTGGCGGGTATAATGATAAGACCACTTGTTATATGGCCAATAGATTTAGGACAGATCAAGGCAAAAACTGCATCATCAACATCTTGTAAAATTCAAATTCACATTAAGTTAAGTTAATAATTAAGGTGAAAGGAGCTGGTTACTAAACAGAAAACAAAAATGTGTATTTAATCTGTGAAACGGCAACATACCCAAATCAAGAAACTTTGACCTTGATTTGCATTAAACAATTAATATTGTTTACTGTGAAACAATAAGTCTGACCTTGGTCTCCATATATTGAAACTACCGTCTTTACTGTCAAAGTTTTTGGTTTTCCTCACAAATAGACACACAAGCATGTTATAATATAATCAATTATTTTTCTTTCATGTTTGATTTCATCGTATGATTTTAATACAGGTATAAAAGGACAATCCAGTACTAAATAGTAAAACCCCACTCTGTTTGACTCTCATGAATCAACCTCACAATATGACATGGCATACCTAAACGAAGAGTGTACTAAAATTTCAAGAATCTGCAATGTGTTTTCGCTGAGAAAACCGTGATAGAAATTGGTACATACAGACACACAGATAAACAGAAAGTTGACTTTGTATTCATAAAAAAATAATTGTCACCTTTTGACCTGCAAAAAAGCCCCAATCATCCACTATGAGTAGTTGCCGAAAATATGCGAAGAAAATCTGTTACAGACAGACACAGACAGCTTGACAGAAACACAAGGGTGAAAAAGTATACCCCAGAGCTAGGGTCGAATTCCTAGTAATCTGTTTTATTTACTGGACAATGTTATAAATGTGTATGATTCACTTTAAGTGTTTGAATAAAATTTACTACAACTCAACAGATTGCAAAATTTGCAAAGTCATTAGTATTTAAGTGTGTGTTGCATTGCGAACCACAACCATATTTCAGTATAATCTTTCTGTACATATAAGTAATTAATAATATCAAATTATGGTTTTGGTTCAGAATGCAACACGTGGTGTACTAGAAGGTTAATTATCATAACCCTCCAACATTTCCATATACTCAATGTTAAAGCGGTTTAGGGTACCATACTTTGATCATTTATTCCAATATTATCCTAACTTTTTTCTCCCAAAATAAATATATAGCACAAAATTAGACATGCTGAAAATAATGAAAGTAAGTTAAAAATTGTTGGCAATCTTATTTCATTTTTCACAAAAAACATGGGCCAAAAAACAGCCTTGTTGAAACCTCTCCTTTTTAACAGTTTCGTCTTTTTAAGGTAGTCCGATCCTCAGGTTTATAAAATCAGCTGTTAAGTAATCAAAATTACTCATAAAAGTATCTCTGAATCCACAAAATTATGTAAATATTATCCACAGTATTTCTTTAACGTTAAAGATTAGAGTTAATCATGTTATATAGGGAAAATTAATAAATCTCCAATATTTTTGCAGAAAAAGCGAATGGGAATATCAGCAATGCATTTCCTAAATGCAAATTGATCAACAAATATATTTTAGGTTATAAAACGATAGGTATCCAGGCATTCAGAGAAATTGTCATAATTTTCATACTTATTTGGTACTTTTGTCTTCTTTTTCCGTAATGTACTCTATAATAAATAGTGAAAAAGGCTTTTGCTATCATTGCAAGACACCACAAATTACTTCTTGTTTCATATCATGCTAATAAACATTGGTATCTAAGGCTGGATTCAAGAAAATCTTATTTCTCTTAAACTGTATAATTTTCTTTTCTTTTATAGGGTACTAATGTCAACTTTTAGAAGGCCTTTTCTAACACTTTTAAAATCCTCGAATCTTATAAAGATGAATAATATGAAAATTGTTGCACGAAAAAAATCATTTTCAAGCTTCATTTGGATGCATTTCAAATTAAATATTAATTTTTGGAGTTATCCTTCCTGGCTGAGGATCAGATATCCTTAAAAATTTAAGATGGCATATGCATTTTCTGAGTAGTTATACATGTGTTTCTCTTCTTTCTTTTCATCCAACACACACTGCAATTATCAATCCATGAATTCTCTTTTATTAATGGTGCTCGACATTAAAACTACAATAAAAAACATTTTGGTAGCCTGAAACAGTATACCCTTTAAAATGCTGTAGTTTTACATATGATATCAAAGTTTAATTCGCATACCTTCTTCATCTTATGATGACATCTCTACCTGGTCGAAAACTTCTTTAATGGGAGGTAATATAGCATACAATCAATCAATATAATGATTTTATATTTACTTTTCTGAACTTAAAAAATACGAATATTTGAAATATGATTACATTTATTTCCTTGTGCAAAAATTCAATTGTTCAGATTAATGGAAAGTCGTAGACAATTTTTGTTAAAGATTTTCTATTTTAAAGATTACGATTATTTTGTGGAAAATATAAACATAAATTTGAAAAGAAGTTATCAGAAAATATTAATCTTTTACAGACATGCAGGCACAGTTATTGGATAAGCGGTACCAATCGCTTTTTAAGTTAAAAAAATTCTCGTGAAATTGAAGAAATTCCTTGTCATCTCACAGTTGTATACCTCCTGTTTGTACCATTTTCGTGTTGAGTGAAAAAATAAGGAGGTATGTTAGTTTTTAAAGTAAACATTAAAAATCAAACATATTCTTGATTATTAAATCATTAATATCCATTTTCTTCACAAAATCATGTCGAGACATTACTTTTCAAAGAAAAATTTTAAATGTTAAGTGTCCTTTTCTTTCCCCCATTAGAGATATTTCGTACATTAAATTTCTTTTTCACAGACAAACATAGACGAATAAGAACACGGCATATCATTCCACATGCCATTTCGGGAAAGTATTTCCATGCAATCTTCGTTTCCTTTGTCGTCGTTAGGTTCCCCCTTGTTCCAGTTTGTGAATCGCAATGGTAACCCCGAGTGATTCCAAATCCAGGTGTTTTCTTGTGTTTTGTCCGTACCATCCAACCAAGCACGGCCTAAATATTTTGAATAAGAATATTATTATATCCCCGTTGTTAGAAGAAAAAAATATTATTAGAAAACACAATAAAGTATTTTCTTGAATTAAAATATGTGATCAGAATGTAGGGAGTTCGAATCTTAACCGAGACTGACCTAAGTCAATAAAAATAGTTATATATCAACTGTTCTTTCGACAGTTTGAAGTGAAAGTTGTGAATCAATAAAAACCGAGGTCCGTGTCACGGTAGACGTTGGCACGATAAAGAACCACCACAGATCAATGACCCTGGGTGTCGAGTAAAAGGTCAAAGTGCGTAGCCCTACACCGGTTTATGGTGACGTGTCCAATTGCGTGGAACGTAAAACAACATACAATCAATCAATTAATCATGTTAAAAGATAAATGAAACATATACTTTCTCATTGTAGTGTAAATACAATTTTAGCAAAAACATAGATATTACTATTAGTCCAATAGTCATTCAAATGTTTAAAATTGTGTGATTGCATGTTTTGAGACATTTATACAAAAGAAGTATTGCATCATTACAAACATATACTCTATACCCTAATAAACATATGCAGTTTATGATATATAAACATGAAGATAAAATTTCCACCATCAGCATTACTACTCGAAATAGTGTTTAAAGTATCGACGTAGAAATTGTAATCAGTTTTGAAAAAAAACTTTAAAGAAAAGTCAATGTATACATTTTTAAAAAAAACATGATGTTAAAAATACAATTCATTTAAAAGATGTGGGAAATTAAAAAAAATCTTAGTAGCTATTATCTTATTGTACTGTAAATCACTTTTTATTCGCGAGAACTTTATTTTCGCGTAATTACGCGAGACAGTGTGCTCGCGAAAATTTAATTCTCGCGTATAATAATATTATGTAGGATAATATAGAGCAATATCCACCATTCGTGAAAATTTTGTCTCGCTGATCAAGAGTCAATGACTATCTCGCGAAAATAAAGTGTCGCGAAAATTTAGTGATCTACAGAATTCATAAACAAACACTCACCACTAGGTTCTTTACTTTTTAAGATGTTTGCTACGAAGATGTTCTCGGGCATTGTGTCTATTTCAACCAACTTGGCTGACAATCCACGACATTTAACCTGTAATGATTGTACATGTAAATTATGTACGTCTTGTTTGGTATTACACACTTACTCGGTAAAGCCTACAAAAGGAATCCCGGCATGCAGAGGGCTAAACCTAATTTTAAAAGAAGTGCTTGTAAGGGTGAAGGTAATTTATGACCTTGAGTGAAATCTTTTTAATGTTTGTAATTAGAAATAAATATTCACATAATATTGCATATGTTCAAACCAAAAATGGTAATAGCAAGTAACTATATATATAAGATATCTTTTATCTTAGTTTTCTTACATTTGCCTGTTCCCATGATAACTTCTGTGTATTTAGCATGTAGCACGAAGCCCCATGCTTGTCCCATCCTTTCGGACAATCTAAAAAAATTCGTGACATGAACTTGTGATTTATAAATACAAAAAAAGCGTATTAAATAGTTGTCATAAAGGCATTAAAAGTAGTGCAATTTTTAATACTTTGAAACAGAGACCTTTTAAGGTGTTTATCTGTGTTTGAAGATTTTGCAATCTCTCTATGTTTTCTTTTTTCACTAAAAGTAAAAAAAAATCTATTTAAAAATTTAATTATTCCGTACCCAGTTACGTTTGTCACATGAAAACAATATTACGTAATTCTGATAAATTTATAAACGTTTGAATCAAAAAATAACTTAAAGTTTTTCTTGGAAATGGATTTCAGTTTACTTAGAAAACAAAATTTTTTCGTGTACGAGGGTTGTCCCAAAAAGTCGTAGACAGGTAAAACAGTTTTGTTTCCCTTTGCTTTATTAAATTTCTTTCCTTGTCATAGCACAGAGTAACATTTTATGAGCATGCACTTCAAGTTTCATGATGATATCACATCTTATAAGAAAATTATGAAAAAATAAAGGAAGAATATAAGTGTACACCGGCGCACGAAAGCAAGCGTAAATTACGTCTCTTATAACACTATGATCTCTTTGTCTGCTTCAGTAGCGGGTATTAACATTCAATAATTATTTTAAAGTGAAAGACCACTCTTGATTAACGGACATATTTAAGTTTACTACTTTCCGTTTGTTTTTTACTTGATTTTTTTCCAAGCAGATTCAAATTTCAGTCGAAATTAGGCGAAAGATTGCCTTATATTGTAGGCAGCACAGAATACAAATTGTTTGACGTCGTTCGCGGTCCAGATTTTTCCAAATTGTCTGCGTTTATCAAAAAGTACTCTACTTCCTACATGCCATTTTCGCTACAGAAGAAAACCTCTCATTGTATATCGTGCAATTCAAAAATATCTTCTTTATTAAAATTTGGTGTGTAATGTCACTTCTGTACTCTTTTTTCCCCGTATCCGATGTATATTAACCATATCCAACACAATTTATTACATCTCCGTGCGGCGACTACGCGTTTGACGACGTCATTTTCTTCAAACTCAATTTCAACGATACTGTGAAAATCATGACACAAATCGTCTGTTTCTAATGATATTTATATGAAATTTTGACATAATATTACGATTTTTATTCTGGTTTCAGTGATTTAAATTTGAGTTCAATGTATTACAAAGTACTAAAGAAATAAAAGCAAATGTAATAGTTATATGCGTAAATTATTCCGAATTTAGTCCGTGCGCAAACAGGCCTTATCGGCTTTCATATAAATCGTCCTAATATTATTAATATGAAAGATATGTTTTTAAAATTTCACAATTTTAAAGAACATTGACTATATTATGTCTTTGCAAAATTTGGTAAGTATTGGTTGCATGATTAAAAAATTACAAACATTGTCTACGACTTTTTGGGACAAATCTCGTATTTAACATTTTAAAGAACAAAGGTGTCAAGGTTATTTCAAAGACCTTTTTGTTCCAACTCTTGTAGTTGGAAGTCTATATACATTTTTAATGACAGCAGAGAATCTTCCAATCCACCCTGTGCACATTTATCATCGCCGATTCTCGTATCCAGACTTTGAGAGAAACTTATATGTAGCTGTGACAGGAGGATAATGACAGCCAATATTTGAGCCATAATCTTAAAAAAAAAAAATAAAGATAAGATAGATAAGATAATGTTTATTTAAAGTCGGGTATATCAACAAAGAACATTAGCTATGACGAGCTTTTTTCCGACTAGATATAAAACTCATGAAATTACCTGCCTTTAGACGATGCATCAAGTATATATGTATATAACTGATAAACATTTAAGCGTCACCTGATTGGCGAAAATCCAATGACTAAATAAAACTAGATGCTGTCATGAGACAGTAATACCCGCACTAAGGTGGTTGCCTCTAAATACACGCTCCTACATATTGGGCGGCTTTCCAAAGAAATAGTCAAAATAATTCTATAATGTATGAGTATGAAATTCTCAGACCCAGTGACCTATAACTCAGAACCTCTTATATTTATTTTATACATGTTTAATTCATTATATACCAGTCTGAATTTTATTAATGATGTAAATTCATGCACGGATCTGTCGGGGGGGGGGGGGGGGGGGTCAGGACCCCCCCCCCCCCCTGGAATTTACAAGGTTAAAAAATGTATATACTAAAACAAGGAAAAAGTTACAATGGACCCCCCTTGGAAAATGCAGATCCCCCCCTGGTAAACACGAATATGTGTAAAATAAGTATGAAAAGTTAAACATTTGCGGCAATAGAAGTCACCACTACTCCCACCCCACCCCCACGATATAGGTTTTTGACGTTTGGGTGAGATTTACTTTAGGTTTTTTTTTTGATTGTCAATTTAATGGATAGGATTTTTTTTTGACTGAGGATGACCCCCCCCCCCCCATGAAAAAATTTCTGGATCCGCGTCTGAAATTAGATTTTGATATATGTTTTGCTCATAATAGGACCTTTTTAAATTTACTAACCCCCCCCCCCCCCCCCCCCGACACCACAATCACACAGCACATACTTTTTGGAATAGGCTGGATGGAAAAGATTTGTTAAAATTTAATATCGTTTGTTATGAATTAATTTAAAATTTGTTCTTGTACTATACATGTGAACATGTAAATTTCTACATCACATCACGTTGCGTCACCCATTATCATATTTATAGATTAAACACCATTTGGCACACCTCGGCCGATTCCCACTTCATCTGATAAGGTGATGGAATCGACGAAGGTTCGCCAAAATGGCACATGGCTGCAGTCTGGTGTGCATTGGATTAATTCATTTTGAGTTATAATTGGATTTATATTTCATGAAGTTGAGACACAGGGAGTCGGTAAGTAGAAGTTTTAGTATAGTGGGGGGTAAAATACACCCAAACTATTAGGTTAAAGTTTAAAAAGGGTGAAAGATCATCGCATGCCACACTAGACGAATTTCATATTGTGAAGTTATCTCCCGTTGTCGATGTGACATTCAGTTACTGCCAGTACTGGTGCGGATCCAGAATTTTTTTCGGGAGTAGGGAGGGGGTTCACATCTCAGTCAAAAAATTCCAGCCCAGAATTTCGTGACAAGCAGGAGAAAAAAATGAAAACAAATAAACAAATAAAAAAACAATGATAGTGAGGTCAATGTTTTCTAAGTTTATAGGGAGAGGATGTCAAGAGTCATTTTTTACTTGCTACAGTATATAGTCTTGTTTAAATAACAAAGCAAATGCCAGATGGGGGGGATGGGGGGGATTCCAATCTTCCTACCCACTTCCTGTCCCTGAAATAACAATGTATTTTGTTATTCCAGTTAAATAGTATATTTTTTTCCATTTGACTAATTATTATACATATTTTGTTTCTTGTGTTTATAGTATGTCTGTCTGTAAGTCTGCAGAAATTAAATCCTAGCTAGCTTGCCCATAAGTTTTAAGTGGGATGGGCTATACAAATAGCTTCCACATTTTACAGGTTTATTTCTTGTGACAATTTAATAAGACCTTTTATTTGGGTACCATTAATTTTTACTTCTGATCGCTTGACATGGGATACACATTTTTACAAGAAAAATACCAAACTTTAAACTCTGCCTAAATTTTGATCAGTAGGTGCTAGGGCTTTCATACTTATCATGACATATTGTATTCATTGTGAACTGTCAACAGGTATAAATATGTTTGACCTTGACCCTAGAGTTTGAACCACTTAAACAAAAAAATTAACCTTGGCAATTGACTTTTGAACAGGAATTACTAGGGATTTCTTTATTTCACATGTGCATTCCTTGTGACAAGACTTTCTTCTGATACTAACAATTTGAACCCTTTGACCTTGACCTTTGATTTTGACATATATTTGAGAAACTTCAACCTTCGCCATAGGCTTCCATACTGGGACATCAGTGTTTCACAAACACATCTTATCTTCATTATTATTTGGTGGTGTCTCCATATGAGGGAAGATGTATTCACAACAAACAAATCACTAAAGAAAATATTAAACATGAATATGTTGGTCATGCATATCTCTGCAGAAAAAAAAACAGCTTTTCAAATACTCCAACCATATTGTAACCCTTTCAAAACACTCATTTGAGCTTTTTTGGTTTCCTTAGCATATAATGTCTGTCGTGACGTGTTGTCCATCTGTTTGTCTGAAAACTTTTTACATTTTTAACTTCTCTAGAACCACTGGGCCAATTTTACCCAATTCATATAGAAATATGTACATTTGTATGTCAGACTCAGTCCATCTGTCTCAATAAATTTAACCTTGGTTATTACGGTCATATCTACTGAATGAGAAGAGACATTCATATTAAACTTATGTATTAGTATATTTACCTGTGAGAATGGCATGTTTTTTTTTTTTTTTTTTTTTTTTTTTTACATGTGACCTAGAAGTTTGACCAACTTGCAAAAAAATTAAATTGTTATAAATTCATCATTTTGAAAGAGAAAAGTTAGGGCATTCATATCATAATGCATGTATATTATTACCTGTGATAAGACCTTTCCAAATAAATCATGACTTTTACACTGTGACCTACTAACCTAACCTACTTTTCAAAAATGTTGCATTTGCTTATAACTTTTGATTGAGATGAGATATGACTCTCACTTTTGACATGTACATAAATTACTCATAAGAATTCAAGGTGTTTCCCAGCATGCGATGTTTTTTTATGCGCCCGAATTTTTTCGGGGCGCATATTGTTTTTGTCCTGTCTGTTTGTCTGTTTATCTGTTTGTCTGTTTGTCTGTTGTCAACTTTAACCTTGGCCAAAACTTTTGAACCGTAAGAGATAGAGACTTCATATTTGGTATGCAAACTCCTCTAATAAAGTTCTTTCAAATGACATCAAGGTCAATGACTTTTTGACGTTGACTGTGACCTATATGCTAAAAATAGGTTTTTCAACTGTTTGTTATAACTTTTGAACCATAGGAGATAGGGACTTCATATTTGGTATGCATACTCCACTAAAAAGGTTCTTTCAAACAATACCTGTGACCTTGACTGTGACCTTTATACTTAAAAAAGCTTTTTCCACTTTTTGCCATAACCTTTGAACCATAGAAGATAGGGACTTCATATTTGGTATGCATACTGCACTAATTAAGTTCCTTCAAATGACATCAAGGTCAATGACCTTGTGACCTTGACTGTGACCTATATGCTAAAAATAGCTTTTTCCACTTTTTGCCATAAGTTTTGAACCACAAGAGATAAGGACTTCATATTTAGTATGCATACTCCGCTAATTAAGGTCTTTCAAACAACACCAAGGTCAATGACCATGTGAAGTTAACTGTGACCTTTATACTAAAAATAGCTTTTTCTACTTTTTGCCATAACTTTTGAACCATAGGAGATAGGGACTTCATATTTAGTATGCATACCCCACTAATTAAGTTCTTACAAATAACACCAAGGTCAATGACCTTGTGACCTTGACTGTGAACTATATGCTAAAAATAGCTTTTTCGAACTTTGTTGACGCCGGGCGCATAGTGTTTCACAAACACATCTTGTTACCCCTTGACGTTGATGTTTTACATAATTTTCAAAATATTTAACTCTCCTAAAAGATGATTAGGCTTCTGAGTAACATTAAGGAAGACTTCAAGGAAGACAGGGCTTTTTGCACAAAAAACGTCATTTTTCAACCCACATTTGAACCCCCGGGGCAAAATCTAAATTCCAAAACCTTACTGCACATCTACATGACCCCACCAACCATCTCCCAAAAGATGATTAGGCTGCTGAGTAAAATGTAAGAGGAGTTCAGGGAAAACAGGGCTCTTTGTATGAAAAACGTTATTTTTCGACCCCCATTTGATCCCCTGGGGCAAAATCTTAATTCCGAAACCTTACTGCACATGTACATGACACCACCAACCATCTCCCAAAAGGTGATTAAGCTGCTGAGTAAAATGTAGAAGGAGTTCAGGGAAGACGGGACTTTTTGCACAAAAACGTCATTTTTCGACCCCCATTTGACCCCCCGGGGCAAAATCAAAATTCCGAAACCTTACTGCAAATCTACATGACACCACTAATCATCCAACAAAAGATGATTAGGCTGCTAAGTAAAATGTAAGAGGAGTTCAGGGAAGATAGGGCTTTTTGCATAAAAAACGTCATTTTTCGACCCCCATTTGACCCCCCGGGGCAAAATTAAAATTCCGAAACCTTACTGCACATCTACATGACACCACCAACCATCCCCCAAAAGGTGATTTGGCTGCTGAGTTAAATGTAGAAGGAGTTCAGGGAAGACGGGACTTTTTGCACAAAAAACGTCATTTTTCGACCCCATTTGACCCCCCGGGGCAAAATCAAAATTCCGAAACCTTACTGCACATCTACATGTCACCACTAATCATCCCACAAAAGATGATTAGGCTGCTAAGTAAAATGTAAGAGGAGTTCAGGGTAGATGGGGCTTTTTACATAAAAAACATCATTTTTCGACCCCCATTTGACCCCCCGGGGCAAAATCAAAATTTCGAAACCTTACTGCACTTCAACATGACACCACCAACCATCCCCCAAAAGGTGATTTGGCTGCTGAGTAAAATGTAGAAGGAGTTCAGGGAAGACGGGACTTTTTGCACAAAAAACGTCATTTTTCGACCCCCATTTGACCCCCGGGGCAAAATCAAAATTCTGAAACCTTACTGCACATCTACATGACACCACTAATCATCCCACAAAAGATGATTAGGCTGCTAAGTAAAATGTAAGAGAAGTTCAGGGAAGATGGGGCTTTTTGCATAAAAAAACGTCATTTTTCGACCCCCATTTGATCCCCCGGGGCAAAATCAAAATTCCGAAACCTTACTGCACATCTACATGACACCACCAATCATCCCCCAAAAGGTGATTTGGCTGCTGAGTTAAATGTAGAAGGAGTTCAGGGAAGACGGGACTTTTTGCACAAAAAACGTCATTTTTCGACCCCCATTTGACCCCCCGGGGCAAAATCTAAATTCCAAAACCCTACTGCACATCTACATGACACCACCAACCATCTCTTAAAAGATGATTAAGCTACTGTGTAAAATATAGGAGGAGTTCAGGGAAGAAAAGTGTGACAGACGGACGGACGGACATGAGTAACAACAATATACCCGAACTTTCTTTAGAAAGTGCGGGTATAACAATAATTCAATATATCGACAAATAAATTAGATTTAAACGGATATGTAAGTTTTCTCCATACATTTATGCTAAACTGCTCACTTGGTGTATTGAATTATACTATTTTACAATTTGATTGATCTTTCGCTTACCGTTTATAATGGAAGTCCCTCTAAACATTTACATTTGCCTGTTTCTGTTTTACTTTCTGAATATTTTAAAGTTCACAGATTGATGATGCATTATATGTAAAATAAAAACTAAAACATAATAATACTACAATTATGGCACTTAACAAAGGAAGAATAATAATATAGGAGTCAGGATGTAGACTATTATCTCATTGATGTTGTCTGATTAATAAGAGTGTTTATGGGCATAAGATTGGAAAGTTCATCACATTCAAATATACAAAATACACGGAACACTTACATGTATGCCCTGTTCACACAGAGAGTTTAATTGCAGTTAATCAATTGGACTTCAACTAATTGAACGCTGTTCAATTTTAATTTGCAATAATTTATGTTTAATTTGAATTAAAAACTCCGTTTGAACAGGGCATTAAAGTAAATATGTCTGGGTTTTTTTTCAAGCGATCCTCCTTGTTTGTTTGTTTGTTTAAGATATGATTCAATAAAAAAACACGGAATGATGTACAGCATTTAACTGATATATGTACACATGATGGAGGAGGGATTGAATACCCCCTTCCCCTTATCTATTTTAAAGCATGACATTCTTTCAGATATGTTTTTCATAATACATGTATCATGTGAAACAGATTTCTAAAAAGTATACTAAACATTTTATTTATAAAACTGGATAAACCACTATAATCTTGAATGTGTCATCCTACACAACGTGTCTTGAATTCAGAGAGCAATAATATAAGTAGGGGTGTCTTTGAACTTCCTGATGTCCGTGTTTTATCATTTTGCCCCGGTCATAGGCATGTGTTGCTTTTGAATTTTATTTAACGTCCATCACTCGACGATACTTATATGAATTTCAATATAATTTTCTTTAATAAGTGAAATCCATAGGAAATCTACAATAACCAGTACTTAATAAAGCAAACGAAACCTCTTGTCATTACAGGATAGAATCCTTAGCAGAAATTATATTTATGTTTCCTCATGCTGCACAATCTCACCACAGCTCTGTTTTTTGCTGTGATAAAATCAAATAAAATCAATACCATTGTTGAGATGAAATATGTCATTTATCAAAATGACGGAATAAGAAAAAATATGTGCATCATATGATAGGGTATCAGATCAAAAGGTAATCGAACAAATACATATTAATTTACTGATCCCCTAAATTTTAAGATAAACGTAAAAGGCACTGCAAAAATAAATATGCCACCAAATGTGATTGACGAACATAGTTTGGCAAGCTCATTGTGCCATCCAAGGTGAACTATATACGTTTTTGATACTCTAGGAATATCAAAATGTATTTTGTCTGCACTCAATGAAACTATAATTATATCTTATAAATGGCACTGTGTTCAATTCCTTATTTTGATTATTGATTTTTTTTTTTGTACTAATCGATGTCAGCGATAGTGCAATACATGTACATGAATATAATGTATAACGACTAACCAATCTGCGATAATGTAAGAGATTTTAAAGGATACAACAAGCTTTTCGTTTTTATTCGGTAAGAGATAAAGGCTGCTATTCATACCTGGAAGTTGAACAATTTTCCAAGAAAATTCTTAAACCAACGCGTTTACTGGTATTAGTCACCTTCAAACGGGACAATATGAGCAATCTATGGAGTACACTATACCAAGGAAATGGATTTTGAAAATAAAGAGTCAAAAAGCGAACTTTTAGGTGAATACAAAGCTAGATCGTTATGTATGTGTTCCGCAAAGTGTAGAAGGGGCTGTCGTTTCTTTGGATACAATAACAACTTTAAACTTTGTCGCGTCTACAGGAAGGTTTTCGCAACTGAAAAGTCTAACACGGACTATGGATGGAGATACCTTTACAATAATTGTATGTATTCGGATAAATTTTTTTTTTCACACAAATCAAAGAAAACTAGATGCATTGATATTTTTTCCGTTATATATTATTTTTGGATGATCTAAGATTCTTGTTTCCCACTATTGTTGATGTCCCTGGCATACTCTCCTAACTAGACAGTGATGTACTTTAATATTTTTACTCTCCTTTTTTCCACTTGTTGTACAATATATTATGTGTATGATCAAATTAAAGATAATGGACAATTATTTATCTGATAGATACTGGTACTGTAAAATAAAACAAATTTTGAACAGGTTAAACATGCGTTTTTCTGGAAACACAAAAATTGGAATCAGGTACCTAGGAATAGAGGCTATTACATAAACACTAGTCATACTCACGGTGAGTCCTCTGTATGTTAATTATTTGAAGAGAATAGCCCCTAGTAACAATGAGTGTATCAATAATAGCCAGAAAACCCAAAGCAAATGTTACCGGTCGGCCGGAGATGCTCATTCCTCCATGGCACCTGATACCACCTTGATGTTTTGGAGGCCCTCGTTTGTTCTGCCCCCTGCTCTGTATTGTTTTATGGACCCTTGAGCTTGAATACTGTTCGTATCTCAATATATTTCATCCAAATATTTGGTTGGTTATGTGTCAGGCGAAGGATTTGACAAAAAGGTAGCCACTGCATGGATGTAGGAAACAGCAAACTCATACCTATTCCGTCACTCAGGGCCATGTACCTACTGCGGCAAGGCATCTCGGCTTACATCTCCTATACTAAAAACCGGACTCTCCGTCCAGCGATAGAATTCGACCCGCAACGTTATGATAGAGCTACTTACTCTGCAACTCTAGATAAAACACTAAAATCAATGCGCCACGTGGGTGATTGGAAAACAAAAGCAGTGTCTACCTCTAGTCAAACTCTATAGCTATGCACTTGCATTACGAATCTCTTTAGGGTATTAAAACCGTGTTCGGGTGTTTTAGTGAAAAATATGAACCAGAGTGACATATATAGTTTAGTTTGTAGTTTACCATAAACGTCTTTAGATATAGTTTTTACATTTTATGTACAGGGGAAAACGTAGTTGAATTGGAAATGAATATGATTTCAACTGATTATGAATAATTGTTTTTGTGTGTTACAGATTATTATCTATATCTCCGTTGAAGGTTACTTTTATTGACTTTATATTTATGCAATCATTAATTTACTACTGTGGTTTCATCAATATTCGTTGAGCACCAGTTTTCGTGGATTTCGTTGTTGAGCAGATCCACGAATTCAAATGTTCATTGAAATACGAAATATGACATTCATTTGTATTGGCAATGCTTTTGTCCACGAAATTACGTATCCTCGAAAACGTCTGTTTTACAAAATCCACGAAAATTGATGCCAACGAAAATTGATGAAACCACAGTATAATAAAGAAACAAGAAAGGTATCAAATATTTTAACGAGCTAAATTATGGTTGTTATTTTCAAAAAAGCATGCTGTCCATGCATGTTCAGGATTGAGTTTAAGAGCTCTTCATGTTGAAATATTTTTTTTCATTTTAAGAGAATACACGCTACTCAAGTAATCTTTGTGAAACCCTTTTAAAAAAATTAGACATCTTCAAATGATATTCACTCTTAAACCAAATTTATTTTTTTCTCGACAATTTTATTAAGGCCGTGTTAACCAATATGTGAACATGTCATAGAATAATTAATAATTCCACCATTTTTATAAATGTTTTGCAACAAAATAAATTAGAATATAAAAAATACTATCTTGACACATCAATAAAAACACACTATGTAAAATTATTTGAAATCTTTTTATCTTCAAAATCTAATTGAATTTTCTTATCAAATTAGCCAGATTTAATTTCATCAGGAAAGCATTAAGGACAATATAGACAGGAGTCAGATCCTTTATTGAAGATTTTGAATGAAATATTAAACATATGCATGCAGCATTGAATTATATTGTGTCTTATCCGTGCATATAAGCAAACCTTTCTGTGAATTTAATATTTTCCTAGGAAATTAAAGTAAAATATTAATTAGCTACCTTTGCATTGAGAATTTTTGTTTTGAAAACATGTAATTGATGGGTTTACATCTACTGTCATGTTATATTCATCTCACAAGACAATCAATTATGAATTATTCCTGTTGTTACATGTAGCGACGTACGTTTTATGTACTATAAAATACATGTATATTGCTATCTTATCTTAAAGTAACATATTTCTTTGCAAACACGCTTGAACTGCAAATATTGAAGCCATTTACAGCAGGATTAGGAGGTAGCTTGAATGTTGAGGAAAAATGAATTTTCTACACAAACCCGGTTCCTAGAACTCTTCTTACATATTTTTTACAGTTGCCCATTCATATTTTTAAATTGTATGATTGGAAGAGTGCGGGTGTTGTATATGTACAGAACGATTTCGGAATGTGGGTTCTAATTAGAGGCTACTTAGCTTAGGTGTCAAAATTACAGTACTTTTTTTCCCAAAAAGTCTCAATTTTCTTTATTCCCTTACATTTTTTGCAGTAGGAAACTCATTTCTTGAAATATTAATGAATACGTCCCGTAGATATGCAGTAGGGCTTTGGACTTTCAGCTTTACCAAAGAGTATGGTTTAAAAAATTATAAACTGAACGCCTCTAACACTTTTTTTTAAAAGAAAGATATATAGAGTGTTACAATAAATGTCCTACCCAGACTCTATCTTTACTCCTCACTAAAATCTTCAGAACCTTCAAGGCTGTTGTGCCAAAATTTATTCGAGAAGTAGTATTTACCGGGTGTGGATACTTAAAAATCCAAGGAATAATATACACTATGAAATTTCAATTCTTTTTCCTATATTTCCTGATCATGACACGACTGATTTGACCAGTCGACAGGTGCTGCTCACTCTTCCATGGCACCTGATACTATCTCTGGTGTTTTGAACGACCCTATTAAACTTTGCTCTGTTCCAAGTTTGTAATGTTTTATGGACTTTTGAGCTCGAATATGATTCGTTATCTCCATGTACATGTATTTCATTTAGTTGCCTAGTAACGTTTAGAAATATGATTTTCATCGCCCTATAGGTTTTTAATGAGGTTTGTAAATCTCAATTTTCACCAGGGGGGGGGCGAATTTTTTTCCTGAAAAAATCTTACGACATATTTTCATCTCAAATAAAAAGTTGTTTTTACGAAAGTTCTTCTGGAGAAAAAGGATTCTTAACTTCAGTTTTATTAAGTAGCATGATTAAGGGCTTACTTA